AGGAGAACCCAGAGTTGAACGTCAGCCTAGCTAAGGTACATAGTAAATTCAAGGCCAGTCTGATCTACACAGCAAACCCTGCCTCAAAACATAAAAAGAACAACTGCCCATGTCCACCAAAAATATAAAGATTATACACGTCAATGAAAGACTATGCAATTATTCCACACCACAGGATAGAGAGACACAATAAAGAAAGACAATGTGCCTGGCATGGTGGGGCACACCTGTAATCCTAGAACTTGGGAGGCTGAGGCAGGACTGCCAGGATTTCAAGGCTAGCCTGAGTTACACAGTGAGTTCAAAGGTCGCCCTGAACTGCATAGGCTCCTGAGTTGAAAAAAGCCTCCGAAGGAAGGTCATTGGCGTCACCACCCTTGGAGGGCATACAGGGACATTGGTCCTATCCTCTTTTTTTCTGCTTCCCAGGCCCCACGAGGTGAGCAACTGCTCTACCAAGCACTCCCTGCTACAGTCCTCTCCTTGTTACAAGCCCAAAACTATAAGGCCAAGTGACCATGGACTGAAACCTCTGAATTCATGAACTCGAGTATTCTTTCCTCCTTTTAAATTGTTTTTCTTAGGTATTTTGTTACAGCAATGGAAAGGTAACTTTTACATATTTCTTGTCTACTATGTGGTTAGTAAACTATTTCTCTAACTAGAATTATAGATACAGGTAAGAGACAAAAGCAAAGACATACTCTTTCTACTTATAAATAGTTATCTTAGCCGTGTCTGATACCACATGCTTGTAACCCCAGCACTTTGAGAAACTGAGCCAGGACAATCACAAGTTCAAGACCAGCGCGGGCCACTTGGCAAACCTCTGTCTCAATAGGATGCAGCTCAGCGCAAAGGCTTTGTGTTCAAGCCTCAGTACAAAAAAAGAAAAAAATATTGTTTTGGTTCTCCTAAGAGTCTCTGTTACAAGTTTGTCAGGAAGTACTACAGAATAAAACTAAGAGTGTACAATGGAAAATAATAAAAAGCAAGGAGTAAACTTCTCACAAAGGCTGTATTTGAATGATAACCTCCATTCTTCCTAGCTGAGACATCAAGCAAGACTCCTGCTTTTGCACCTTAGTTTTTCTTCATAAAATGATGAGAATAATCTTTATCACTTAGGATGACGACAGGAAATAAAAGATGCTTGTGGAACTATTCTATGAAGTCTAAAGAGCAACAGAGCCACCACTCTGTATCTGTGGATACCACGCCCACGGATTCAACTGTGTGTGCAAAACATTTGGGAGAAGAAAACTGCATCTGTACTGAACATGCACATAAATTTTCTTGCTGTCATTGTCCCCAAGCAATACAGCATAATATACACACAACGCTTACATTATCTGAGGTATTATAAGTAATTTGCAGAGAATTTAAAGCGTACAAGGCAGATGTATATAAGTTAAATGCAAATACTATGCCATTCGATATAAGGGGCTTGAACATATTCAGGTTTTTGTATCCAAGGGTGCCCTGGAACTAATCTCCCATGATTCCCAGAGATAAGTGAATATATATGCTAAGTATTAAAACAAAATATATTGGATTTAACACAAAACACATTAATCAATTTTATCATCTAAAAAATCTCAAGTGGCGTTATCTCCACTACAGAAATTCCCTACAGAAATCTAAAAATTTTTAAACTTCACCTTACCACCTGAGCCAAGAGTTATAATTAATAGTCAAATTTTCACATGTCATCTAGTGAAAAATAGGCTACCTTGCGTTTTAAAAATTTATTTAACTTAGGAGTTGACTTGTAACCCAAAGATAAGATAATGTCCTGTGTCTTCATAAATAATAACAACAATGAAGATCCTTAAAAGGTGATAATCAGGTTCCCATTTGAAATCCACAGATTTCTTAAACTGTTTAAGCCTTGTTCACAACTGAAAAGATTATAGCTCGACTGCTCAGGAAACTAGTGAGCAAAGCCTCGGACTGGAGGTTTAGCTCAGCGGCATAAGCACCTGCCTTGCAAGCAGGCAGTCGTGAGTTCGATCCCTGGTACCGATAAAAACGAAAAAGACAAAAAAAAAAAAAAAAAAAGAAATCTAACACAAAAATGCCACTTTACATTAAAATAAAATTAGCCAGTATTTTATTTTTGATGTTTTTACCTCACAAACACACCAAGAGACACAACAGAAGAGACAGAATAAATAAATGAAAGCCTACGCTGAGCCAGGAGTGGTGGTGCTGGCCTGTAATTCCTTGGGAGGCTGAGGCAAGAGGACTGCTGTGAGTTTAAGACCAGGCTGGGTTACAAAGTGAGTTCAAGGCTAGCCTGAACTGCATAGTGAAATCCTGTCTCAAAAACAGATTAAAAAAAGAAAAGAAAAGCCTACTCTGATCACCTGGATTGCTCCCTGATTTCCCCAGGATTCACTGGGGGCACATCAGCAAAGCACTGTCACATGAGAGCTGAGAAAACTTTGTTCTAGAAAACTTCACTGATCCCCAAACCTACTTTCATAATCCACCAAAATGTGGACTCTCAGGATTAATCTGCATTTCCCCCAGAAACAAACTGCAATGGTGAAATATGTGGTTCATGGTAATAAAACAGAATGGCAGAGACACATAGCACAGGAAAAGGTGTTCACCCATGGCTGCGAGAAAGCACAGAAGGGGAGAAACAGGAATACACCCTTCCAGGTCACACCCCACCCCAGTGACCTCCAATGCAACCAGGGTCAATGTATGACCGGCACATTCATCTGTGAACTGATCAACCGACTAACCCACTCATGAGTACAGCATCCCCGTGATCCAAACATCTCCCTAAAGGCGTACTTCTCAATACAGACATTTCTGGGGGACATTGTAGATCTAAGCTATAACAAGAGCCATGCAGTCTTCTCATCACACTTTACTGGGGTCCCTGATGACCTCAAACAGTGTCTTGTTTACTCAATACAGTTCTGGAAATCCATAGAACTGCTCACATCTCCTTCCAGTTAAAGATAATTTTCAATTACTGTTTTTCTATTGTTTTTTCAGCTATCTCTGAAATTTTCATTTCTGTACACAAGAGCTTTCAGACAGATCCAGAGCGGGGACATCCTAAAATGTATCTCAATATGACACTCCCATTTTCTGGATGTCTCCAAAGATAATCACTTTTGAAAGGAAGCCATAAGCCTATATCTTTCAGAAACCTCTTAAGACAGCTTTAAAGGCAGAAGTCACAAAACTAAACTTTAATCATATTCAGCAAAAAGGAAGCACGGTGTTTCTCTGCACCTGGCCACACACAAGGGGGTCCAAGTGGAAGCTCAAGGGCCTCCTCCCAGTAAGAACTAGTTCCAAACGCGTCCCCTCATCCTACACATTTCTGAGGGCCATCTGAGTGGCACAGACTATGCTAAGTGCCAGGGATTCAAGAAGCTTAGGAGAATAAAGAGCTTCCATTCATTTTAATAGATTGCAGGGAGCACAATGGTAATACAGTACCCTGCAGCACTCCACCAAGCACAGAGAGCAGGCAGTGGTTCTCAGACTTGAGTGTTCTCAAACTGCTAGAGGATAGTTTAAACCCCAGAATCACCCAGAGGACACTTGCAAACCTCAACTGCTAGAACCATCCTCTAATATTAAGTTAAAGAGTTTGTTTCCTATTTGGAAAAGCATCCTTCACACGTCCGAATGCTATGTTACAAGAATGTTTTCCTTGAAGGGTTTTTATCATGAGAGGTAGGTCTAGCTCAAAAGAATTCTTACTTCCTAAAAAAACCAAGAACAAGAAAAAAAAAAAAAAAAAAAAAAAAAGACTATCAACTTCAGTGCCATAAGGTTGACTTAGTATGCCCAAGACCCTAGTTCAATCCTCAGCATCCCTAAAAGGAAAAAAAACAGTCTGTGAACTGGAAATATAAGCAGTAAGTTAAACTATAAGCAGTAGTGATTAGATGAGTAATAACTGTACAGTCTTCGTTGTGCTAACTATATTTTCTAAAATTTTTACAATAAACATGCACTGCTTTTTAAAGAAAAGAGCTTTGCGTGGTGGCGCAGTCTGTAACCCCAGCACTATGGGAAGCTAAAATGGGACAATTCCAAATTCCAAACATCTCTACACTATTGACTGGATCAGTCACTTCTAGATGCCCCCCGAAAAAAAACAAAATAAAACAAAACCCTCCTATACAAACACACTTGTTATATAAAACCTATAGCTAATCTTTTTCCCAAAACTAGCCCCTAAAAACTTCTGTACACTATTAGTTGCTGAATAGTTCCTAGGTGCCCAATATATCAAATATTGCATGCATTCTTTCTTTTAATCTCCAAACCATGCGATGAATTAGGTACCTTTATGGAACTATTACAGATACACTTAAGCACAGAATCTTTATTCCACCCTAAATCACAGTTAAGAAGTAAAGATCCAGGATACAAAGGTAACCACGCTGTACACTTTAAGACTATGAACCTTAGGTTTTTATCACGGCTTTACTGGCTCAATTGGCAATGCTTTACATTTTAAGTTTTCTTGACAATGGTATCTGAATTAATACCAGTAAGATGAAAATGTTAGAACAACCTCGCCACGTTCACAAATTTCTGCGAACATCTAAAAAGCACACCGATTTACAATGTCACACTTTAGCAGCACCGAGCCGGGACGCCTTCGGGGACCAGATCGCTGCAAAACGACCTGCGGCCCCCCAGCCTCCCACCACACAAACACCGCCTGTGCGGAGCGGGTCTGGTTTGTCTGTGGCTGTTTCTGTTTTGCTTGAGCCTGGAGAGCCAGAATGGGAAGGCATCGGTGGAAACACGAACTCCTACTCCTTTCCGGCTCCTTCCGCAGAAACAAGTTGGGTGCAACAGCCAGAGGTCAGGACGCCCACGAATTGAGGCCCCGGGGGCCGCCTCTGCTCGGGGTCGCGCCCTGCCCGACGTCCCGCTCCCCACCCGGGACAGAACCCCCGGAGCACCCAGAGCAGGCGCCACGGCTGGGGCGCGAGCTGCGCGCCGCTTACCGAGCTCGGTGCCGCGACTGCGCGCGGCCATGGCGGGAGCGCGCGGCTGCAGACTTGAGCGCCGCCTCCCGGACGCCCGCCCTCTGTCCTGGCTTCCTTCCGCCTCACGCCCCGCCCCCGAGGTCGCCCCGCCCCCAGCGCGGGTCCGTTGGTCTCCGCGTGCTATTCCCTGACCCCTTACTTAAAATGCTTAGGCTCGCCAGCCTTAGGGGTGCAGTCCTGTGATTCTAGCACTTTGCAGACTGAGGCTTGAGGACTGCCTTGAGTTTGAGGCCACCCTAGGCCACATAGTGAGTTCAAGGGCAGCGTGAACTACATAGTGAAACTTTGTCTCAGAAAAAATAAATAAAATAATATGCTTAGGTTCTCCAGGCCTGGTGGGCATGCCTGATAATCCTAGCATCTAGAGGCTAAGGCAGGGCTGCCATTGAGCTGTAGGCCAGCCTGGAATAGAGAAACCTTGTCTCATAACACAAAAGCAAAAAAAAAAAAAAAAAAAGCCTACGTTGCCAGTTTCGTTGAGTGTGACAGTGTTTTTTTAACTGCAAGATTGCATCACTACAGGGAGCACCCGCCCTGCTGATCTGGTGAGGTCTAAGTGCAGCGCCCTGCGCCCTCTGACCTGAAATATCAGCAGTGATCCCTGAGCCTAGACCCAGAGAGCCCCGATCTCTAATCTGGACCCCACAAAAGCATAGCCATTTGATCCGAGAACCAAGAGCCCAGAGATGAGCCGGTGAACCCGCCTGACTTAATATGTGTGACCTGGAGCAAATCATACGCGCCTTCCCGACCTGGTTTTCCTCCTTTTAGCCTCTTGAATCAAATCTGTGACTCTGGGATACTGAGGCTTCTTCCAGCATGACTTCTCCGTGACCAGGACATTTAATCTGTCCTGAGTCACGCCCCAGCCTCCCCCGGGCCACCAGCTAATTCATCAGGGCTTGTAAGTAGAGACAGGAAAGAAGTCTGGCTGTGCCTGAACGGGTTCCCCTGGCCCGCCCTCTCAGATGTGTGAACGCATCTGAGTTTTAGATAAATCCTGCTAGGTAGGTATTGTCTCCATAAGGACACTTGCAGACCTGAAGCTCTAGGGGGAGCCACCTAGGTAGTGGAAACAGAAGCGGTTGAAGCGTGCCCAACACAGCAAGGTGTGAGCTCTTCATCTAAGGTCAGCAGGGCCCCGGGGAGTGTGGCGTGATTTGGTTTTGTTGGCAGTAATGGGAGCTGAAACCAGGGTCTTCGCACTGAGCTACCTCCTCAGCCCTTTTTCATACTTTGTTTCAGGGCTTTGTTAAATTGCGAGGTCCCCAGTGTGATCCTCCTGCCCTATGCCATGTTGCTGCAGTCACATGCGCCACCACTCCTAGTGTGAGGATGTTATTGACTTATTTGCATAACGAGATTGACCAAATGAATTGCGTTGTAAAGTTGTATGTGTGCAGATCGCCTATGGCACAGTAGGCCCTTAGTAGGTGATCAATAAATGGAAGCTGTTCGTGGTAGTGTCCGGTTCCTATGGAAATTATTCCCCTACACGAAGCTGTCTTTCAGCTTCGTCCATTTCTGTCTATTGCTGAATATTTTGAATGTGTCTCGATCCTATTTACATCTATAATTTACTTTTTGTTTCTTTTGCAATTATGAGGATTGATCCTAAGTCTTTTGCATATCACCAGCCTTTTTGATACAAGGTTTGACTAAATTGGCCATGCTGGGCTCAAACTTGGGATCCTCTTGCCTCAGTCTCCCAGAAGGGTGGGATCAAAGGCATGGCATATCCAACACACCTGGCTATCTTTATTTTTATTTAACCCTGAAAAAGCAAAAAGGAAGCCCTTTCATACTGGAGTTGGCCAAAACTCCACTACACTGCTCTTCCTCAGTTAAATGTAAACAGTTTTACAGTGACTACCTGTTGGAGCCATTGAAGCTGGATACATGTGCAGGGCTATGGTATGGCCCAGGTATGGCTGAACTGAGAATGAGGAGGTGCCTCAGGGGGCAAGATAGGACACAGCTGAGGACTGTCTCCTAGGATAGTTCTCCTTAATTAGCATCGTCTGTTATTTGGAGGGGTCCTTGAACCCCGCCCAATGTCTTGCTCAGGTTTCTTGCATTTTCCACTCGCTTTCCTTGTTTGAATACTAAATAAATACGGCTGCCCAGAGACATTATTTCAGCCACCAGAGTTAGGAACTCTGCAGAAGGTTTTGGTCCTCTTGGAGCCCTAACGATCATACCCCTCGCTTCATTCATTTGGGCCTTTGCAATGCACTCGTTTGGGAGATTGGGGATCTAGGCACAGACCCCAATAATCACCATCAACAGCCATAGCCTGCCTCTGTGACCAGAATGAGTCAAAAACAAGACCTTTCCTTGTCGTGAGTGAAAACAGAAAACCATCAACATTGTCCAAGTCATAACAATGAAGAAGCCCTATAGAACTGTCACTATTTTATTTCACCATCCAATCTAGAAGACCATGTCTTCACCCTCCCCTGAGTCACCAAACATAAGCCCAGGTGTGGTTAATTTTTTTGTTGTTGTTGTTTTTTGTGTGTGGTTAATTTCTAAGGACACCTTCTCACCAAGCCGCCCACAGTTCTAGGATGAGGTCTGCCTGTGCAAACACAGTGGTGTTCCTGGTGGGCTTTGGCACAGAGCACTCATGTCCCTAAAAGATAGAAGCCCAATACATGAAATTCTATTTTTAGGGACCAATGCAACTGCAAGCCACTCATTATGTGCTGATGTGTAATAAAAATTATTAAAACAACAACAAAAGCTGGAACATCCTAGTCTGTCTGAAACAACAACAACAAAAACAGCAGTCTCAGGGCTGGGGATTTAGCTCAGTGGCATAAGCGCCTGCCTTGCAAGCAGGCAGTCGTGAGTTCCATCCCCGGTACCAATAAAAAGGAAAAAGACAAAAAAAAAAAAAATTGTTCTAGGAATGTATGTTTATCTTGAAGCTTCTTAAGAACTTACAGGGCCTGAGAGATAGGAGTAACCCACATTTTAAGTTTCAAAGGCCGTGAGCCTGCTGTGCTTGGTTCCTTGTATGCTTAAGGTCTAGAAACTCCATGAAAGTACATTACTGTCTCTGCTACTTTGTTCACTGTGCCTAGTTTCACTCACACCATTTGCATTTCATGCAGTTGGGTCCAGGGCAGACATTCACAAGTTCCTTGGATAAATATCCACTTAGAGTACAGATCATCAGCCAGTATTTCTAAGTCTGGTGGGGAAAACTATAGAAACAGAAAGGAGCACTTTTGTGTTACGTGCATGTGTAATTCCAGCACTTTGGAAGGCTGAGAAAGGAGGATCACAAGTTTGAGTACCACGTGAGCAACTTAAAAATAAGTTGTCTTAAAATAAAAAGGACTGGGGATGTAGTTTGGTGTGAATTCCCTGGGTTCAATCTCCAGTACCAATAAATATATAAAATAAAAAGGCATCAGCAGAGGACTAGGGAAGGAAGCACAGCAGAATGAGAATATTTCCCCGAGCTGGCAGGCCTGTAAAACACATAATTGACTCTTTTATAAAGTTAAGTTTATTCCATTTAAACAATGGTTCTGGACTAGGGATTTAGCTCAGCGGTACAGTGTCTGCCAGGCAAGCGTGAGGTCATGGGTTTGATCCCTCGTACTGGAAAAAAAATAAACATTAGTTCTTCCTTCTGTGACTGTTCCTTCCCAACTTGGATTTAAAAGATACTTTTGTGAAGACTGTGAAAGCTTTTTTTTTCTACTAGCCTCACTTAGCAAGATAAGTAAATGGCTCTACCCTGCTCCTCTTTTAAAAAACTTACTGGCCACGAGATTCCAAATCTGAGCAACATCCATAGAAAATAAAATACTAGCAATATTTGCTGCTTCCTCCGAGTTAAGCCTTTATATCAATTGCTTCACATTTTTAAAAACTTGGTATTTCCCAGAAAGTCTAGTGTAAAAGCTATTATCTCCTTGTACCAAGAAACTGAGGCTTAGAGAGACAGTCTATACAGTGCTAGAGAGCGTAAAATCCAGACGATATAACCCTAGAGAAAACACACTGATGCCTACACTTGCTTTGAAACCAAACTTATTAGACAAGCCAATTCCCTCCCTAAAACTCAAGTTTCTCAAATAAAATGAAAATAATATTACCTACCTCATTGAGTTATTGAAAAATATTAAAGAGTAAAAAACATTTTAACACAAAAGCCTAACACAAAGAACTAAGTATTACTTTCATACTCAAACTAAAATCAAGGAGCACCCAGCCAAGCCTTCTCTCATTAAACTGATTCAACCTAGAAAGCTGTTATTTATGATTAACTGTCATTTAGATGCACACTTAGGCCTTCTTTCCAGAGATAAGTCTGATACCCCATTAGTTTTTCTGGGAACTCTATTACTCTTGTTTTATAATACACGAGTCCTCTATTGGTTTTAAAACCACAATGATCTAGATGATACTATTTCAGACAGCTGAATTACGTAGAAATGTAAGCAGTCAGACAAGGGTAGGCCCTCAAAAGAGGCAGGGCAGTAAATGAAAACGCATTACAACTCTGGCCAGAGGCACATTGGAGGCCTGGCCTCACATTAGTGGTAACACCTGGTCTAATGAAGTCTAGATGGATGGCTGTCACTTCAGTGGGTGACCCAAGACCCTTGGACTCATCCCTTCCTGAAAAGTTCCTTTCATGTGTACCTGCTACTAGATTTGCAAGACTGGATCACAACTTACCAAAGTGGATCACTCCTGGATCACTGGACCACTATTCCGTGAGTGGCTATACTTACGGTCTTACCAGGTGCACCCTTGTGGTTGTGCTCCATAAAACCTCCCTGAAAAGTGTGGTCCTCAGCAACCCAACAGGCTCCTCTCCTGTCTTTCAAGAGCTGTATCGCTCCCTCTCAATAAATATTTCCTACTTTAACCTCCACTGTTACTTCTTCAATCTTGCAGAACATGAACTCAGTGTACCAGACATTTAGCAGGTTGTCTTTCTCCTCTATCATCTGGAGGTCCTGTATCATTCCTGTATCAATACTATATCACATGGGTAATTGTGCATTTCTGCAGACTGCAAGAAAACAGGTCTCATCATAGCTTGGTGATGAATATTTGGAATCCCAGCACTCTGGGAGACAGAACAGGAGTAAATTTCAGTCCAGCCTGGGCAATTTGGCAAAGTAGCGAGACTCTGTCTCAAAGGTTCCAAAGTAAAAACACACCTATAATCCCTGCCTCAAAAAAACCACAAATGAATAAAGTAAATAAATAAGAAGAGCTGGGGATGTAGCTTAATGCAAAGACCCTAGGTTCAATCCACAGTACCACCAGGGAGGAAGAACAGGAGAAGGGAAGAGGAAGAACCTTAAAAGGTCCTCTTGATTAATCATTAAGTTGCCCAGGTTTGCCCTGAACCTCCTCCATGCTTGGCTTAACATAAGATCTTGGACTGAGTTTAGTGAGGATTATCCACAGGTGTACCACATAGTAACCAAAAATGCCCAGACATGCCCAGACATGAAATGTAGGAGTTAGAGAGTAGAAGATGAGACAAGGGACAGAACCAAGGAACACAGCCCACTTGGCAGAACAGGCAAAGATACAACCTCCCAGTATTTCCAGGAGAAAGTCTTGCCATCACCCTGATTGAACCTAGTGAGACTTATTTTTGACTCAGGACTTCCTGAATTTTGTTAAGCCACAAATCTGCAGTAATTTATTATAGCAGCAACAGAAAACTAGTATACAAAGGTCTGTACACATCTACGATCTATTTTTGTTCTTGGTTTTGAGACAAGGCCTATATACCCCGGGCTGGCCTCAAACTTATGGTGCCCCTCCTGCCTCGACCTTCCAGGTGCTGGCTGAGACCACAGGCATGTGCTACCACATCCAGCTCCACGTCCTCTTTTTATTAAATCCAAGTAGAAGAAATCCACCTCGGCTCATTAATTTCATAAATACCAAGCAACTTTGATTTTAGTGTGGTGCATATAAACCTGTTTTATTTAGGGTGAAGTCAAGACTCTGGTTAAGTCTGAGCAAATCTTGACCCACTGACAGTACTGCTACATAGCAAGAATCACGCTTGTGACAAACTGACACTACTAATACCCTGTGAGACCCTACATGGATCACTGACCAGCTTTGCTTGGCTCTCAAATGCTGCTATAGGTTACAGAGCTTTCTGTACAGTTACTGCAAATGCTCAAAAGTGAACCTCATTCTTTGGATGGTTTTTGTTTCTTCTGAGGCAAGCTAACAAAGGTCATCCGAAAGCTTCATTAGCAAAGAGCAAGCAAGTCTACTGCTCTCAAGTTTTTCTAAATAACTTTAATATCCCCACATACTTTAAAAAATAAATTACAGTCTACATTTAATTGATCCAGTTTATTAAAGAGTTAGTAAAAAGAATTTTTTGAATGCTACCCAAACTTTAAAGGATAAGGTAAAATAAAATGACAGACGTTAAACATGACATGCCAGCTTATGCCACCCTCTTAAACTCATATCTACCCGCCCACACACAGAAATGACCACTGTACACTGAGGAGCACTCAAGTCTACAAGACTTGGCGGGGGATGTGGGTAGTCTAGGTATCTGACTGACTTTCTCTTAAAACTATCAAGCATCATTTAAATGACTCACCATTTTAAAATGTAAGTCATACATTTCTAACTAGTGTGGAAGGGCAGAAGGTAAATATAACTCCAGCAAAGGACATGAAAGTTCCAAAAAGTAAGTATAAGCAAACAAATTTCAAAATTAGGAAATGCTTACTAGCATCTATAACCAAGTTGTCCTCTGCTGTGTTGACAATATAGGAAACCTTTTTAAAACAATGTTTACCATAGTCCATAATCAAACTGTCTTTTGCTACAGTTATAACATAGAAAAATTATCTAGCTATTTTCATTTATAAAATTCCAATTCCACATAGTAACTATTTGGTTACTATAATAAAATTCCTATTAGTTTTCCCCAAAGAAAGGAAACACTGTTTCACTTTAGAGGCATTTTATTTTAGACAACTAAAAATAATTGGATGTTCAGAAGCAGTGTACAATGCAAGAGAAATCAAACCATTTGCTTTAATGTATTCCCTCTTCTTTGCAACTAAAGCACAAAAACAAAAAAAAAAAAAGAGAGAAGGCATTCTGCTTTAAGGGAAATGTCAGAAAAATAGGCAAAATATATTTTTGTCCTCCATAATAACAAAAAAAGCTACAAGAAATTTAATTGTAATGACACAAATCGGACGTTGGCTTGCACGTATTCATTAAAAAGACAAGAGGCTGTCGCATTACAAGAGCCGGCTTCCCTGCTCCTCGGGTGCAGAGTTGTCACTCACAGGTTCCAGCAGGTCAGCGGCAGCAGCACAGAGGCCAATTCATATTCCTCATTGTTGACTGCTCGTTGGCATCAAGCAGAGAGTAACTCTGAAGGCGGATGCTGTCCTCTGCTCGCTCCTTTAGTCCTTACGTGATATACTAACTGTGGCACATGCTTGATGCTCAGGCTTTAACTTCAGGAGTCGAAGAATAGATGGAATCTGAATTTTCTGAAGCGATTTCTTCTACAATTAGAAACAAAAGTAAATTAATCAGTGTAATAAGGGAAAGAAGCAAATCTACATTTCCATTTAATGAAAAAATAAAAATGACTTTTTAAGCATACTCTGATGAGGGGAGAGAAACAGCAGCTGCACTTGGCACTGAAAAAGCAATGAGCAAAGAGCTCATTATGTTTCGCACTAATACTTTTACACTGTAATTTAACCAAACATTTTCTCTTTCCAGGTTAGATTTCCACCAACTTCAACTGAACAGTAAATGCTGTATTAAAGCCAGGTCTTTGAAAGAGTGGGCCTTCCTCTTTAGTGGTTCAAATCCTAATAATGATATTTGAATAAAAACATCAACATTTTTGTAAAAATGTACTCATCAAAAAGAGAAAAATTAGAATTACGGTAAACAGCATCCTAACTGTCCCTTAAATCACCATACAAACTTTCTCACGTCACAAGTCTGGTATTTCCTTCAATCACACCCTTATCTTGCCATGTTATTGAAAAAAAAACACACACACACACAAATGCTTACCAATTCTATCACTAGTGACAATTCCATTTCCCCTGTTCTGTTATTATTCCCTTACTGAAAACAGGTGCCCAATTGCCTAGACTATTAATGTCCACTAACTTGGCTATGTCATTCTCTCCCCTGGTCCAATTCTCTCTCCATACCACAGCCAAAGTAATCTTCAAAAACTTCAGTCTAAATTTACTGTTAGTCCTCTGCTTAAGATTTAAAGATTTCTCATTACTGCAGTGTAAAACTCTCCGAGCTTTTTATGGTTTACCTTTGCTAGATACATTTTGCAATTTGCCCTTTTTTGACTAATTTTTTTTTTTTTGGGGGGGGGGGGGTAACCTGGGATCAAACTCACAACCTTGCGCTTGCCAGGCAGGTACTTATGCTACTGAGCTAAACCTCCACCTTGACTGACTTTTTTTGTCTGTTCTGTTTTTTTTAATGGTGCTGGGGATCATACCCTTGGCCTTGTGTATGCAAGACAAGAACTCTACCACTGAGCCACATCCCCAGCCCTGTTTGGTTTTTGAGGCAGGGTCTCACTATGTAATCCAGGCTGTCGAACTCATAGCAATCCCCTGCCTTAGCCTCCCACATGCTGGAACTGCATGTGTGTGCACCACCCAACTCACCTTATTCTTATAACAGGGAGGCAGAGTTATCCCGGTTCCTCATGTGCTGTGTTCCTTTCCACTCCTGAGCCTCAGTTAGTATCTTCGTTCTTTTCCTGTTATGAATTTTTCCATCCTGTCCCTACCACCACTACACCTCCTAACATATCTATTGTTTGTGTACATCCTCAGGTCTCAGTTTAGCTGCTGCTTTTCCAGGAACAATTTCCATTCCCTTTACAATTGTTATAACATGTTTAAATCATTTGCTTACACAGTATCTTAAGTTTAACAAGTTCTATGGGAGTAAACTTTATCATCTCCATACTATCTCAATGCCTATTACTGCACAGTATTAAATATTTAGCTTATAAGTAAGTACATGTAAATATTAAGTTTTTCATTAAATATATTCACACTGAATACATTCCTTTGTCAGTGAGTAAAACTCACAGATCACTTCAATTTTAAGGCCCCCCCAGGATTCTTAGAAAAGTCAGTTATTTGTATTTACCTAGCTCCTCTTCTGCTGTCTCTGGAAAATTGATCTTTGGCTTTGCCAACTCACCACTATCTTCTTCTATGAAAACAAAAGCAATGATGATAGATTTTGTGAATTACTGTATCACAAGTAATTTCATTTAATAAACAAGTAAAAACAAGACTACTGCATCAATACATTATAACTAAACAACTCTTAGTAATTGTGTTCTAAAATAGTTCATCTTCAAAACTCACAGGCTCATACAACTACTCTGGAATCAGTAACTAGTATTTTTTTGTTAAATTAAAAACATGTCTACCTTAAAATAACATTATTCAGATATTGGATACATTTATTTATGAATTCATTATACTGCCTTCTAGCAAATTGTGAATTTAAGTTCATTTCATTTACCAAATGAACTACCAATTTAGTAGATGCAACAAAAAAAACTAAACAAAAGAACACAATACCCAATTTATAATCATGGCTTGTCATTAATTATAATTATATAACTTTCCCAGTACTCAGGAAGCTGAGGTAGAAGGACTGCTGCAAGTTTGAGGCCAGCCTGGGCTACAAAGTGAGTTCAAGGCCAGCCTGAACTGATAGCAAATCCCTGTCTGAAAAAGATAGAAATATGTAATTTCACCTCTACAAGAACACTGAAGCAGAACTGATTAAAAAAAAAAAAAAAAAAAGACACGAAGCCATGCATTTAAATTTGTAACTCAGAATATAAATTCTTACCCGGAAGCACACATTTCCAAAGGCCATAGGTTTTTCCTACCACTGTCTGCCACAGTCTCAGAGTCCCGTCCTCCGAACCACTGGCGTAGAGTTCTCCATCAGGACTGAATCTCACACAATGAATGGGACCAAAGTGTCCTTTGTAGGATTCTGAAAAGCAAGATAAGGGCTATTAGGAAATTTAATATTTAATTACTCGGCTAGGCACTGGTAAATAAAATATACTGTCCATATTACTGGAGAAATGCAAAATCGCTGACTGTACCCAGTCAGTCACCATCACCAGGTGCCACATCAGTGTCTACCATTCTCCCTAAGAGTGCCCCTTTTCAGACCTGTCATGCAATACAGTTTCAGGTTGTCTTTCAAGAAGGAAAACCAGGCTTAATTTTCCATGAAGAGAGAAGAACAGAGGTCAGCAGAAACCCCATAAAATATAATCCCAATAATCATATTCAAAACTGACTGCCTTTTAGACTTAATTCTTTTTATAACTAGAGAGCCACCAGATGGCGCTTTCCACACTCAACTTCTTAATTTTCTCCCAAGCTTTGTAGGGTGTACAGACAGAGATATAGGATCCATAGTGGTCCTTAAATATTTTAATCTACAGAATCTAATGAGACAATGTTCAGAATTGGAGTCTTTTCTAATTTAAGTCACACTTACACTTACAAACCTGTCTCATCTATACTCTAATGCCTTTCCATTTGTTTTTAGAACTCTACTTGCCTAATATTCCTGCTTACCCCATTTGTATCCAACTAGAAAATTAAAAAGTTATGAAAATAAAGGCTAGGACATACCAGCCCTGACCCAGCACTTCTCTAGCAAGCTGGTAATCTGGGTTAATCCCCAGCATGCCAAAACCAAAATGTGAAAGTGCAATATTCACTAACTGTAGCCTCAGATCTTAGGCAAAAATTCAAGTTGGTCGTCTCAAGTTTTGGGGCTTTCCAGCTCTAGTTCTATCATTTTCAAAAAGAATCAAAGGTGACCAAACATTTTAAAACACAATTACGCAACTCAAGTTCCATCAGTTCTTCCCCAAAAGCACAGCAAAAAGTGTCGTTTGTTTTTTGTGTACATTTGCAGCAAATTTATTTCTTAAAATGATAATAAAGCAAGACAGGCACAACAAAAAGTGGCAGCTTACAGATAAAAAAATTATAAAAAGCAGATTTTCTGAACCAAATGCAAGTACATTTGCGAAGTAGGTACTGAAGACCACACATAAGTTTTTGAACCATCTGATAGTATTAACTTTAAATTAATCCTTCAAATTAAGTCTTCCCCAAACAAATCACAAAAATGATAGCAAACTTAAAATTACAATCTCCTAGCATTGCTCAGTGTATGATTTTGACAACTCACCTAATTCTTCTCCACTATTATAATCATACTTATAGAGTTTAAAATCTTCACCACCTGCAACAAGAAATTCTTTCTCAGGATGAAGAGATGCAGAATTGATGGTTGCCGGTGCTTCAAAAGATTTAATTGGGTCCAAGCTGGAAGAAATTAAAGTATGTACAAATGTTAACATTGTACAAATAATAACAAGAGAACAATTACATTTTAAAACTGTTCCTAAATTCTGAAACTCAAAAAACAACTCAATGTTCATTTACTCAAACACAGATAGCAATGTTTAAAACAGTTCAGAAGGGAGCAAACGCAATGCTCCAAGCCTGTAACCCTTGCACTATGGAAGGCAGGAGGAACCAGGGTCTGAGCCCAGCTCAGGCAACTGAACAAGATTCTGTGTCAGATTGGGAATGGTGCTACATGCCTGTAATCCCAGTACTGGGAGGCTGAGGCAGGAGGGCCACTGCCAGTTCAAGGCCAGCCTGAACCACATATTGAGTTCAAGGCCAGTCTGAACTACACAAAGAGATTGTCTCAAAAAACCAAAAATAAAACAAAAAACCATTTCTAGAAATCAGTGTCTTGGCTAACTAAAATAGAATAGGTACTACAGTGCAACTTCTCTCAAAAAATTTCATTGTGTTTTTAAATTTTTTATAAGTACACATTATCTCAGTAAAGAAAAATGTTTTAAAGTAATATAAAGGATTATTTGTATGTTACTCTCAACTGTTGAGGGCTTAAGTTTATACAATAAAAAGCCATAAAATATGAAATATAAAAACAGCCCTTTTTATTACCAGGCAGTAAAATGATAATTAAATTTTAAGCTATAGTTATTTAATAAAAATTAACACGTAAGAATAGTGTCACCTAAAAATGAATTATAGTTTGGATAACCACCCTTTTCCAGTTCAATGTTGAAAAATCATAGACTGTTTCAAACATTACAAAACGTTGTTAATATTTCAGCTCCTAAATGCCTCCCTCCTGTTCCCATCAACGCATACTGCTGAGCACAAAAATTAAAATTAGCCATGATTTTCACTTTCATTAAACGGCAATTTGTAGCTCAAGCACTTGTATAATGAACAGGTTGTATATTCAACCTCTGCTCCCAACAGATTAAGGCTTGAGTAACTGTCTACAGCAGTCAGATCTTAGTTCTGAATGAGCAGTTACTCAGTTGTATGATTCAGTGGCTCTAGGCAAAAGCGTTCTACTATTATCAATGACCTATCTGGATATACCAGCTCCTTTACAATCTTAAGAGTTCCAGATCCATACATTATGGTATAAGTCTATAATAATCCCAGCTAATCAGGAGGCTGAGGCAGGAGGACAGCGGGCTAGAGGCCAGTCTGGGCAATTTAAGTGAGAATCTGTCTCACTTAAATTAAAATAAAAGGGGCCGAGCAGCTCAGCTAGAGTGCTTGGCTAGCCTGCACAAGGCCCTGGGTGCAAGCACTGCAAAAATGAAAACAAAAGCCCATGTCACTCCCTTTTCTTCCTCCCTCCCTTTCAGAGAACCTTGGCTCCACAAGTTCCCATTTTGGATAAATGGTTAGGGCTACAGCCTAACCCAAAATGCAATGTCGCAGAAGTGCTTGGAAATCAGTTTAATATCATGTGTAAATAAGACCTTTAAACTCTTTTTATTCTTTGACCTCATAATCCTACTTAGAGGGCTTCACTGTTCAGGACACAGATATACCTTGACACTCACAGCAGTGCTGAAGTCCAGTAACTAAAACGTAATTAGTACAATGTATAATTCAATACAGCTTGTGAAAGTGTTTTCTGGGAAGTTTCAATGGCTTAGGTTATTTTAAGAAAAAACCAAAATTACATTCAATATGGGCCTAGTAATACAGAAAAAAACGCCATATAGACATATACATGGGTAATAAGGAAAAAGAAAAAAGACTAGCAGAAAATGCAATTATCATGAACATTCTGGAATTCAGCTATAAGGCTGTGGGCACATTTTAAAATTTATCCTCCAAATTTTCTAGAAACATTTATTACACTGCTAAGTCATAGAACTTAAGACTGTTTAAAATTCATTAGGTATGCCCATACTTAGGAATAGAAAAGTCACTATCGCTCATTAAAGTTGAAGTGAAAAGATCACCGTGGTTTTAAGAGTACTATGACATCCAAACTACTTTTGGTTTTTTTTGATAAGAAAAATACAAATTCTTATGGTCATGCATGTCTATAATCCGAGCATTCAGGAGGGAAGGCAGGAAGATTGTTTTAAGACCAGCCTTGGTTACAAAGTGAGCTCAAGACCAGCCTGAACTGCAGTGAGATCTTGTCTCCAAAAGCAAAAGAAAAATACAAATTCAGAACTTTGCTGAATTTTACAAGTGTCTTTACTACCTGGAATTTGATTAATTCCTCTCATTGAAGTGTATCAAGCTCTTAAACATTTTCTTCCATATTAAACAGCACAACTCCCAACTCACCTTCGTTATGGTTTGTTTTGAAGGTGTGGTCTCCAGTGTGCCAATGTTCAGAGATGGGGCTTGGATCACGAGGACTCTAACCTCACCACTGAGAGTCCATTAATGGATTCAGAATATGATGGCATAATTGGCAGGCAGGAGAATCATTAGGAATGGGGCCAAGCTGGAGGAAGAAGACTACTTAAGGCCTGCTCTGGAAGGGTCTATCTTGTCCCTGGCACATTCCTTGCACTTTCTTTGCCTCGTTTCCTACCTCCGGCTGAGGCACTCTGCTATACTGTACGCTCCCTGCCGTGACATTCTGCCTCACCACAGACCTAGTCATAATGCAGGCAAGAAACCACGAACTGAAGCCTCTGAAACTGTGAGCCAGAAATAGTTTTTCTCCTTTGAATTGATTTTTCTCAGGTATTCTATAACAGCAACAAAAAGCTAACACATATGCCCTTCAATTTTTAAAAAAGGTAATAGTCTTTTGTTAAGAAAAAAAAGAAGGGGAAGAGGGGAAAACAATTGAGATGTGTATGTACATGCACCAATTCCCCACCACAAACATATGCAATATATACCACAAACATGTACTTAAAAAAAAAAGGTAAAATTCTTGGACTTACCTTACTGCACTGTGAAAAGCAATAGATCGTCCATAAGTAATAACCAGGATCTCTCCCTCTGGAATATATTCCATGCTACTAACAGACATATTAAAGTTCAGAGATTTCATTTCTGTCATAGTAGCATGATCCCAAAGGCTACAAAAAACAGAAATATGATAATATTTATTCATTTAAGATTGAGAATTCAGTAAATTTTTTTTCAAGGCAGGGTCTCACGATGTAGTTCAGGCTAGTCCTGAACTCACTATGTAGCCCAGGCTGGCCATGAACTCAAGGCAATCCTCTTGCCTCAGCCTCCTGAATGTTGGGATTTCAGGCATGTACCACCATGCCCAGCTAGAACTTATTAAATTCTATCCACAGAAACATCAGTAATAAGAGTAATTCCAATTGTAGTAAAACAGCTTTCACTTCAAATTATAAATTACAAACATAGAAAACTTTTAGATTCCAATTGAATGTCAAAATCTTTGGTAGGTTCTTAGTGAAAGCAACTTCAGTATCTAAATTACTTTCCGAATATCTTAGCAAAACAAAGTTAGCAAGACACATCCTAGTCTCATTAGTTTTAGCATCTTTCTAAATTATTATTAACACTATTTTTGCCAATCCATTGGCTGCTATGTATCTTTACACAGAGAAATAGATCAAGGATAGGCACACAGCATTACATGTAGAATTTTATGGGCTTCACGAACCGTTAGCCAATGTACCCACAAACCGAACTTAAGAATACCTGTCATAAAGTATCAGTTTTAAGTTTCTTCTGAATTCTACCCTGTCTACACATTATTTACTCCAAATAAACATGGGCCACATGCAATTTAAACTTTAATGTCACAGATTTTTGTACAAAATTATTATAAAGTACATTTAAAACATTGTAAGGTAAAATATTTTTCAAAACTAAATTAGAAAGACATTACTTACCGAACAGTTTTATCATCAGCTGAAAGAATCTGTTTATCCTCACTGCACCACAGAGCCTTTTTAATACCCGAAGTGTGACCACTGATTTCTTTAGGTTCTTAAAATGAAATAATTTAAAATATATTTAGTATTTAAGTTTTTAAACTGAAACATGGAACGATTTAAATATATTTTTAAAAGTATATTTTAAATTGAACTGCAACCCTTTTTTTTCTTTTTTGGAGACGGGGTCTTACCATGTGAACTGGCTGGCTTTCAATTCACTATGTAGCCCAGCCTGGCCTCAATCTTGTGGTAAGCCTCCTGCCTCAGCCTCTACAGTATATGCATCAACATGCTGAGTTAGACTGCAACTTTTTATGTCCTGGCACAATTCAAACAATGATCACTGAACACAATGTTTCCCTACTTTGGAACAAAACTTCATCTGCATACCAGGCCCTCAGGAATGATGATCTTGGTTAAAATGTAGCTGAGTATACCACTCATTCCCTCAAGGCTAAGTTTTCTACACAACTGATAACACTCAAAAGCATTACACCACAGTATAGTAACAATTAAAACAACCAATGTGGAATGGCTAATAGGAAAAAAAAAAAAAAAACACGGGAAAGTAGGAACTGCAGGAGAAAAAATAAACACACACACACAATCTCAGAGAGGAAAGCATCAATGACAATAACAAAAAAAGCAATGGTGAGGAGGCTGTCTCTATAGAAGACTGTCTTCAAGATTTCCAAAAAAAGTCCTCATTATCACCTCTGGGCAAATGCAGAGACTAAAGACAATGGCATTACACACTACTTAGACTTATGGCATTTTACATAGTTTTTAAAAAACTATACCGTATTACGCCTATTAGCTATAAACAAAATGAGAACTGTGTTTAAAATATATTAAAATAGGGATGGGGATATGGCTTACCAGTAAAGCACTTGTCTACCATGTGTGATCTCCAACCCCAGGAAGTTAAAAAAAAGATGATAATATGGTTTAGATTTAAAGTGTTCCCCAAAAGTCTCTTGTGTTTAGAGGTAGAGGCAGGTCAGAAGAGGTGGGTCAAAGGAGATTTTTCTGGAAGTGCATATTCTTGTCTTTGGCTCATTTCTCCTTCTCCCTCTACTTCCTGGCTACCACAGCGTGAGCAGTTTCCCCCACCATGCCCCATGACAATGCCATTTCTGCCTTAAAGCCAGCCAGCTGTGGACTGAACCAACCTAACTGTAAGCCAAATAAACCTCTTCTCCTTTATGCTGTGGATTGTCTGGTATTTTGCCCTGGCAATGGGAAAGGGACTAAGACATAGAACACAACAACACAAGATAAAATGGTCAGTGCATATGTATAGGCAACTTGTTCATAAAAAAAAATGGATGAAAACAGTACTGAAGAGCATTTAAATCTCGTCGGTAATTTTAACCATCATATGAATACAACAGAATCATTTTTCCTATTAAACTGGCAAAACTTCAGTTGCCAGTGTTCACCAGCAGAAAGTAGGTACAGAAATGAACCCTATAGGGCCAAGGTTTTAGCTTAGCAGCATAAGCGCCAGCCCTGGCAAGTACAAGGTCATGAGTTCAATCCCTGGTACCAAAAGAAAAAACAAACAGTGCTTAGAAATACTTATACTTTGTAAAAATGGATTTGAGCACTATCAGTAACATCTAATAAGTCCATTGCTTCATTCCTGTTGCAGTGCATAGAAGACGTTATAGTTTGTGTTTGGATGGGCCCCCAAAACCTCATGTAGTCATGGGGGTAAGCTTCTAGACTTTGTGATTGGTTCATAGTCTAATGCTGGGATTGAGTGAATGTTATACCCATCCTAAGGTGGGTGTGACCTACAAACAATGTCAGGGACAGAAAGAGTCTTCTCTTTGCACTCCTCCCTTTTTGCTCTTGTTGCTTTTGATATCTGCTACTGCCATGAACTGTTGCCCCTCTGCCACACCACCCCGCCTCAGAGCTAGCTGACAATGAAATGAAACCTCCACAAATTGTGAGCTAAGTAAACCTTACCTTCCTTAATTTTGAGTATCAAGTATTTTGGTCTCAGCAATGACAGAAAAGTAATCAACACAAAGGATAAATGATTACTTGGAGCTAAGACTTAATTTGGTCACCCAGAGGTCCACAGAAGCTATCTCAACAAAGTGCCCAGCATTAGGGAGACTCCCAGGAGAAAAAAGTCCTGAACCTGAGATGCTCTAGCTTTTCTTTAGAGTATTAATGTAAGAGAAGGAGCAGAACAGCAGTTTAGACAAGGAGCTGCCTCAAGGCTAGGCAGTTTTTCTTGGGGGCAAAGAAAGGACAGTGGTCAGATACAATATGTTTCGCTAATTTAAATTTCTTGTTATTTAACCATTCACTCCTTAGAGTCTATGTGCTTATGCCTTGCAGTTTAATCATTCATTCCTTGGCCAAATTTTCCCACACTACTTTTGCTTATTACCCTAAAGAAACCACTGCGAAAACAGTGTCAGCTGTAAGAATGTCTACCATAGTATTGGCTTTAACATTAAAAATAGCCCAAACAAGGCCAGGGATTTAGCTCAGCAGTGTAAGCGCCTGTCTGGCAAGTGTGAGGTTGTAACTTCGATCCCCAGTACCCCCATCCCCCCAAAAAACCCAAACAGGCCTTAATAAGAAACTGGTTAATTCACTTATGCATACTGATAGAGAACAATAGTTATTAAAGAGTTTATAGGAAAAAGTATCATTGCAGATTTTTTTAAAAAAGATTTAAATAGCTAATACATTCACATAGTTTAAAAATCTAAACATTTTGTAAGATGTGGTGGCTTATGCCCATAATTCTAGCATCTAGGAGGCTGAGGCAGGAGGTTCACCTTGAGTTCAAAACCTGCCTAAACACTTTAACATGCACACATATAATCCTCACCATCTTCACCTTCTACAGCCATCATTCTACAAATTACCAAGAGGTAGTTCCACTACTTAAGTGTCACAAACCCTACCATAATACATTCTTAAATTCTAAGAAGGATACATGAGAGTAACATAGTAAATAAGCAGTATTAAAATAGCTACTTACTCAGAAAAAGAGGAATGTAAATAAAAAATAACATTATTAACAGTGATTAATACTGTATGATTATGTTTTAATTTTCTTCATTGTGACTATTTCTTTCCCAAACTTTAATCAGCTGAAGTTATTTAAAATTAAAACCACAAACCAATGCACACATTACATTTACCTGCTTCAGGTTTGTTTAAGTCGTAGATGCGCAGCAGTTTATCTTGTCCTCCAGTTAACAAGTAATTGCTATCCTAGAAACATAAACATAAAAAAAAAGTTAAATTAGTCACTTTAATAGTTAACTTTTCTTTGAAACTTCTTCAATATCTAGTAATAGCCAATCATAGCTACAAACATCACAGAGAAGCAGCTGATAATAAACTACCTCTGAGAAGACACTGTGGGAACTGCTGCCTTCTCAGAACTGCCCAGTCCTTTTAGCATCCCAGTTTAACTGTGTCACACTGCCCCACCTACCACACCAGTTCTCATTCTGCCTTGATTCTCCCCTTTCCTCCCACAAAGCACTTCACTGATGATCCCAAATTTCTCTTCTCCTTTATGAGAATATTATGTGACATTTTGAGATGTTTGCTGTGATTGGTGGAGGACTGAGAAAAAAGTTCAAAGTACTGAAAAACCTCACAGAATTAACTAGAAAAAAACAAAATTTGCACAGTTTGATACACAACCTAATAAACAGGAACCAAGACACACCAAATAGTCCACAAAAAAACAAACCATCAAATAGTACTGTACAGTAACAGCAACTTATCTCAAGTAAGTTTCATTTTCCTTTGTGTGCATTGTTGGAAATTGACCCTTTCACATTTGAGGTGAGAATCTACCACTGAAACATCTACCACCCCAACTTCAATTTTTTATACCTGTGTGAAATCCACAGTCTTGACAATGTGTTTGTGAGCCAAGGTCATCAACTCATCTCCTGAGACAGCATCCCACACTTTGCTGAAAGTGAAAAAACAAACATGTTATACAACATTAGTATGTTAGAAGTATGAATGTAATGGCAGTTTGATTAGCAAGTAAATTAGGTATGTGAACTTTTAAAAATTGAATTATAAGTTTCCTTTGTTAGTAGCCCTTATAAAGCCTTATTAACCTAACTTTCTTTGATCCTGAAAAAGATCTGAAGGATTTTAAATATACTGATTCAATCAACCCATTCCATTTTATTTATTTTGTTGTAGTGCAGATTAACAGAGCTTCTATACTGAGCTACGCCCTCAGCACTAATATATATATATATATGTATATTTATATATATATATTTTTTTGAGACTAAGTCACTAAATTGCCCAGGCTGTCTTAGCATCAAAAAGTGCTGGATTACAAGCATGCACCATTATGCTTGGTTCTATTTTAAACTATGATCTACTCACATGAGTATGTAAAATAAAACCAAAGCAACAAGAAATTCTTTAAAAATTTACCAACAATTAAAGATTTTGACGATTAAATAAAATTTTAAGTTAGTACAAAAAAATTCTCCCAATTTCTTCCTCAAGGCTGATGGTTAGATTTCAAATGCTAGTTCAATTAACTTCCCATAATATATCAAGTTTCAATTAAGCAATGCTAAATTGAGGCTATGAATCTAAATTTGTTTTCACTAACTCTACCCCAAAGTACATCCTGACAGTTGTGTCTACACAAATATATGTGTGTATGTCAAAGGAGTAATAGTTGAGCCATTACTTGTATTTGAAGGGGTTCCCCAAATAAAACAGGTAAAAATGAAGGAATTTAAACATCTTAATTTTAGGTCATAAGTGATCAGTCAAAAATACACCAGAAAACTCAAGATACATGGCAACAAAGTATTTAAAATGTTCCATAGAAGCCAGGCACCATCATGCATACCTATAATCCTAGATACAGTTCAAAAGTAGTCTTCACTACCCCCACAAAGGCCCAGAAATATAGTTCAGTAGAACACTACTGGGTTCGAGCCTCAATAGCACAGAAAAACCAAACCAAAAAAACAAACTCTATACAAGGTTCCACTGTAATGTAACTGACATCCACTGTAATGTAATTAGCATGTATTTTTGGGAACAAAATGGGCCCTGGCACAAAGGCAGGAGAAAAAAAGCAGAGAAAAAACAAAGGGCTATGTTTTAATTATTCAGTATACACACCAGAAAGAAACCAAACATTGTATCAATCTAGACTCAGTGTTATAGCACATAAATAGGGAGTGAAAAATTAATCCCAAGAAAGTTCCCATAGTTTAACAGAGCTTAAACTGAGGAGAAACATATGTACTAAATAGCACATTTAATAAATGTAATTTAAAAACAACTACATATGACTATAAAGGCACTGTGAATTATGTAAAAAAATTCAGAAAATCCAAGATACAGAGCTAGCAGTCTTAAAGAGCAAGTAGAAATATACCAGGAGAAAAAGCGTATTCTAGAAAAGCATTAAATGACCAAGAAATATGACAGACCGTGTAACTGAGAAGACTTTGCAAATTATATATACCGTACTTGTGTCTTAAGAATGCCCAAAAAATATGTTGAGAGAAATAATGTCAAGCAGAGTAATATTACTAAACTCCCAAGTGTTCGTTTCTCCTGTTCTGCTGAAGAAAACTATTTTATTCAGTCTCCTGTTCCAATCGAACTCTGGCCTTATGCTTCTTTCCCACAAACTAGTTTTGTATTATTTTCTGAATTTAGCCACACCGGATTATAAAATAGTCCTCATACGAGCCATACATTTTGTTCCAGGCTCTGTGTACTCGTTTGTATTGTTTCTTAAGTCTGCATTTTACATTCACAACTACCAAAATTCCTCTGCTCAGAAGTCATCGAACGTTCTCCTTCCATTAAATCCTCTATCTTCACCTCCAGGAGCAACCACTGCTCTTTGCTACAAAACTCAGCTTACCTAGATTACTGAGCTTATATTCACTTTTCAATTTTTGTTTATTATGTTTTCAAAAAAGCCTCACACTTGGAAGGCAATTGGATCACGACTACCCAGTATTTATTGGTGGATTCACAGAGCTCAGTGGGTTCACCCAAAGTGCTACAGGGAGCAGGGATATTGTGGGGTGGGGGAGAATTGGGGTATAACCTGGAAGGGTATTCTTGATCCTAACACCTCCCCGCTTCTCTACTCTTGGCTGTCACAGGGTGAGCAGCTGTCCTCTGCCAGGCCCTTCCACAATACCGTTTTCTGCCTTGGTGCCATCTGACTTTGGAACGAACCTACTGCACACTGACCCAAATAAACCTGACCTCCTTTACGTTGTGGGTGTTGGGTATTTTGCCCGTGACAGGAAAGTGACTATGACACATATATTTATTCTTAACTATACAGACATGGTTGACTTCAAATAGATTAGGGTGACACAATTATCAAAAGTAAGGAAAACATCAACTGGACCTGAAATTTCTATCCCAGTTATTCACGTAAGTCTCAAGAGAATTCAGGTAATATTCTTTGAAATAAGCTTCCAACATCTTAAAATCTTGCTAGATCATGTGCATTCACAGGTGAGGAAAGAGAACTGAAACGACCAGAACAGTCCCGACCAGAGAGCCAGGCACATGGACAGTTTTTTCTGCTCTTTAGAAATCCTTACTACTAGTGAGGCATGGCATTGTCTGACAGATCATGTTCTAGTCACTCATACTAACTGACACAATTCCGTTTTTCACACATTTTTCAGCACAGAGTTCTAAAACGAATCTGGAATGAAAGAAATATTTTCTAGGCCAGGCGTGGTGCCTTGCCTGCCCAGCACTCAGGAGGCTGAGGCAGGAGGACTGTTGCAAATTCGAGACCAGCCTGGGCTACAAAGTGAGCTCAAGGCCAGCATGAACTGCATAAAGAGACCCTGTCTCAAAAGGACAAAAATTTTCTAGTTTTTTATTCAATCTCCTCACAATACACTGACATAACCACCTGGCTATAGTACTCAAATCAAGATGAAAAGCATTATTAACAGCAAATCCTACAGCACTAACTTAGGAAGTACTTGTCATCTCCCAAAGCCACTGATAACTCCCATCTCAGTTTCTTGCATGTAATAATCAACACTGTGTGTTCAATATTCTTCGTAACTCAAGACTGAGTCAACCATATGTAATTCTCAAAAGGTATTGCTTAACTTAAAAGTTTTAGCAATACAAAATATTTTAAAGGAAAAAAAGGCCCAATTACTGAAGTATGTTCATCAAGTAGCTAATACCATTGGTTTATAAAAAATCTTATCCAGAGAAAAATCAGAACTTTCTATTTCAGATTTTCTACTGGCTTTTACAAAAAATGGTGGCTTGTTTGACTCCTAGTATGTGCAAGCAGACGTACACACACATACTCAACACATATACAAAGCTATTGCTGAGGCAAAAGGGTCATAAGTTTGTGCCCAACTTGGACAAGTCAACAACTTAAGTGAGACTAACTCACTGAAAAAGGGCTGGGATGTAGTCCATTGAACAGGCACTGGGTTCAATACCCAGTACAACAGAAAGACAAAAGATCCAGTGCCACAGTCTATTTTCCATTGCTATGATAATCTGAGGGCAAGTGCCATACTGGGATCTAGAATGTTCCCCAAAGGTCCATGCATGAAAGGCCTCGATAATACTGGGAGGAGCTTGGCAATTTGGGGAGGAGATACACACTAAGAGACAGCGCCTAATGGTGGAGGAGTCTTCAGGTCACTGAGGGCTTCCCTGGAAGGAGAATGGGACCCTGGTCTCTTCCTCTTTACTTCATTTGCCTTCTGGTCATGAGGTGAGGCTCACTGTGCCACCATGTGCTCCTACTATGAGGTGTTGCCACAGCCCAAAGCAATAAGGCCACTGAAACCTCTAAGACAAAAGCTAAAAAAAGATCTCTCTAGAAGTTCACCATCTCAGTTATTTGTTAGTGATGGGAAGCTGACTAACACACTGGGTAATTTATAAAGGAAAAGGGTTTGCTCTAGCTCTTGTTTCTGGAAGTCCAAGAGCGCACAGCCATATGTACATGCTTCGGATGAGGGCCTTGTACTGCGCTGTGTCACGGCAGAGAAGAGCAAGTGGATACACGAGGAAGAAACACAAGGGAGGTGCCAGGCTTGTTTAGTGCAATCCACTCTCACTGAGAACTAATCTAGTCTCTTGAGAAAAACATTAACACACTCAGGAAAGCAGCACCACCGGGATCTAATTACCTCTTAAATGTCCAAATACCTCTAAACACCATGACACTGGAGACTGAGTCTCAACTGAAATTTGGTGGCACAAATTGCAGTAATTATCTACAGATTTCTGGGTTCAACTCCAGATTTAGTGAAGCTCTCTCTAGAGCAGAGGACATTAATCTACTCTGGAAGTCTACACAGATGAATCTGCTAGAGGAGGAAAAGATACACAGAAGAGGATCACACAAATCTGTGTGTCAGTTTTCTAAACATTCTATTTTTTAGAATAATACTGGTATGAGTCTATTGATGATTACATTATCCCTGAAACACTGTCCTCTTTATCTTATTCAAAAAGCTTATGCTGATCTTACTTATGTGATGCTCTTCTGTATATCTCTTTTCCACTCTATTACCACAACTGAATTAACCTTAACTGAGAGGAAAAACTATAACAAAGTCCCGAGGCCACGAAGACATAAAATGATAGACTAAATGCTCATACACCTTTTGCCTCCAGTGTTTATGCTCTTAATACCACTTACAAACATTAAGACTTGAAATGTTTAAGAAAATCACAAAAACAGTATTCATGTGCATGTCCTCAAAGTTGTAATTTTATTTAGTTAGCTCTCCTAAGTGACCTTCACAAAGATAACCGTTAACTAGCAGCAAGTTAAAATCTGGACTACTTTCAAGAATTCTGATAAGTATTTAAAGTGTCACATTTCTTTACTCTTTTCTCTCCATTTCAAAGTAATTATCACATGACCAGTGATTCCCATCTACTGCTCTGTATTTCTGAGGGGTGGCAATTCCATTTGGTCAATTATACAACAGTCTTCTCATGAACTTTACCAAGGCATAAGCATCCTTTTTAACAAGCTCTGAAAAAGTATCTGAAAAAAACATCAAAAAGATGGTACCAAGGCATTTTGCTTACGTAATTAACCCTGGTAAGGCAAGGTAACAGTATCATTGAAGTAAACAATCCAAAACTGCAATCCAAAAGCTCTTTCAATGCTATTGTTTGTAAACACTAAATTATAGTGTCTACACTTATGATTTAATTACTTAACTTAAAATATCTCTTTATTAGCATATCACTACCCAACTGAGAATTACCAAAATGAAATATTAAAAATCTGTTTACTAAATATCTGAAATCTTCAACTGGGTTTAATGTTAATTCAATTTTCTACATTCATTATTTGAAAGCAGTAAGATTATCGATGATCTTCTTACTGAAATGGATGAAAAACTTGGAGGCAGCAAAGCCAAAAAAAAAAGCTATACTTACAGCAATCATCAATCAGATAGATGTTCCAAAAGCAAAATCAGGGTCTATAATTCATCCATCCTTTGTCCCTGTGCTTGTCTGCCTGCCTGCTTTCCTTCAGCTTTTGATTTTTTTCTTTTTTTTTTTTGAGACTATGTAACCCAGGATGACCTTGACCTCAAACTCATAGTGATCTTCCTGCATCATTTTCTCAGGTGCTGAGATTACAGTGTGTAATCATGCCCAGCTAGAAAAATTTTTCAAGTTATATATTTTTGACATATTAACTCGGGACTGGAATAAGGTTACAAAACATGTACACCAACCTTTAAATAACACTTAAAAAACTTAGTATCATAAAAATGTCAAAAGTTTTAACAGTATTGTATGTCCACAGAGGGAAAGAACATCTTAATATTCCAGCATTCTATAAGTCTGCCATGTCTGAGAATTCCTTTTCCTTCCTACTTTTGTCTCCCATAATTAACAGTCAAAGGAATATATTGTCATCAGCGCTTGTGCTGACATTTACAACAACTTCTGGGCTGAGAATATTCACCTACAAGGACATAACGTAAAACCAAGTAGCTCATATTGTAGCAGAATTATGTAATATCAGAACTGTGCAGAACACAAAGCCTTTCAATAGTAACACATAACAGCAATTTATTCTTTGAAGGCACACAAAAAACTTCAAGGGTTTAGACAGACACTTGTAACGTTTCTTACTGACCTTTTTTCACTATCTCCAATTTAATCCCATATTAGCATCACTACTACTTCTACTGAAAAAGTTCTAAATTTATTTTTAAATTTACATATAACATAATTCACTGGGATAATATATAGGTCTGAGTTCTAACAAGTGCATAAACTTGAACCAACTAGAGCTAGTTTTTTCTTTTTACACTAAACTTGGTGTGCTGAATTTGGTTCAAACAAAAATAACAACATATTTACAATTACTCCTTAGGGTATAATTTGGTTTATAAAACAATTAACACCCAGATGTAGAGGCCTACACCTGTAATCCCAGCACTTTAGAGGCTGAGGCAGGAGATCTTTGTAGAGTTTGAGACCAGCCTGGATTACACAGTGAGACAGTGTCTCAAGGAAAAAAAAAAGAACTTTTACTTTCTAGGCTATTAAGTCTAAGTATCCACAATAATTCTGGACATTTCCTTTACTAGTATTAACAATGAAATGTTTCCAAACACTGATAGAAACTAGAGAAACATTAAAATTATACAAAATCTGCTATGTGCCCAGAAGGGGGGAAAAGGTCATTTGCAAGTCAGTTTAATAATATATACAGGGGCTGGGGATTTAGCTCAGCAGCATAAGCACCTGCCTCGCAAGCAGGCAGTCATGAGTTCGATCCCTGGTACCAATAAAAAGGAAAAAGACACACACACACACACACACACACACACACACACAAAAATATATATATATATATATGTGTGTACAAATCAGAGCCTGAACACTGCTGGCCTCAGAAAGTGTATCACTAGACTAAGATTACAGTGTACAGTGCCAGATGATGCTGATGAACCAGGATGAGGCCAATAAACAACTAGAATCTGGCTGTCCAGTCACTCACTCACTTTACGGTATGGTATCACTTAGAAAAAATTTGAGAAGAAACAACACTGGCAAGGGGACTCCATCTCCAGACCAACTAAACCAAGAGTATCTGAGACACAGGCATTTGAATATTTTAAAAGTTCCAGATGATGTTCATGTACACCCATAGGTCATGATTACTAAAATGGCAATGGAAAGACAAGATGATCATGGAGAAGTAACATGATCAGATTTGTTTTTAGGAAGACAACTGGCAGCAGTATGAAATATGAACAGAAGGGAAAGAACTTAGTGGTGGCCAGGTAAAAATGACTACTGGCCAGGCAATCCCAACACTCAGGAGGCTGAAGGAGGGGAACTGCCAGCCTAAACTACACAGCCGGATACTGAAAAACAAAAACAAAAACAAAAAAACGATCCTGTAGGAACACAATAGCAGACACATGACAGACACTTTGAAGTCAGCAGATATTTTACAGATAGAATTAAAAATGAAAACAAGGGAGCCAGGGATGTAGCTACAGCACCTGCCTGGCAAGCATGAGGTCCTGAGTTCAATTCCCAGCACTCCCCCCCCCCCAGCCCCACCCCAAAAAGAAAAGAAAACAAGGCAGACATAATGAATATAAACAATAACTTATGTTTCAATCTTTTAAAATTCAGGAAATAACCAGGAATGGCGTATGCCTGTAATCCCAGCACTCAAGAAGGTGAGGTGAAAGGGATTGCTGTGAGTTCAAGGTTGGCCTGAGTTACAAAGTGAGCTCAAGGCTAGCCTGAACTGTGTGGCAAGACCCTGTCTCAAAAAAGATTAAAAAAGAAAATCTAAAATAACAACAAAAAACTGAGGAACTAAAGAGTAGTTAAATTTGGGCAGTTTTAAATGTCTAAAGCAACTTAATAAAAATTAAGAAATAAAGTCAGTTAATAAAAACTGAGTCATATACATAATCAAGTAACAATCAAATACAGAGCAGTAGAGCAGTATATGTAAAAGAAATTACCAACATTTGTGGAGTGGCTGGTAAGAATGCAGATTTCTGGGTTGTAAGCATAAAGATTGTCATTTAAGCCTCTGAATTTTTTGGTCACTTGGGTGCTGGGGATTGAACCTAAGGGTGTCAGGAGTGCAAGGCAAGTACACCACTGAGCTACATCCCCAGCCTTCTGTATTTTAAGTAGGTTCACCCCTAAATTGACCAGGCTGCCTTCAACCTGCCTTCTGCCTCAGCTTCCAGAGTGACTGGGATTAACTGATGTGCTGGCACACTCAGCAGCCTCTCAAATTTGTGACAATCACTGAAAACAAAGCAGCACATTGAACCAGGATGGAATTTTAGTGAGATCAAATAGCATGTGGTAGCTACTGAGTTAGAATTCTGTGAGGTTAAACATTTGAATTATTTCAGGGTACACTCCAGAGAACAAAGCCGGTTCACTTACGCTGTGAAATCTGCAGCGGCGGTAGCTGCTCTGGTGGCATCCTTATTTAGTGTTGCGCCCCAAACAGCACCTTTATGACCCAAAAACGTTCCAATCCAATCTCCTGTATCTCCCTGGCGTAACATGGGTTTTCCATCTAGAAATATTTAAGGAGACAACGATTTAGACGTTTATTACTTTAAATCTAGGATCCAAACACAAAATGACTATGTATGAGTGCAAATCAGCAAACCGTTTTTGTAGTTTAAACTGTTCCCACTCAAGGGAATCATGCAAATTCATGCAGTGGAATATGCAAAAACAAATGAACTTAAGAGCTGACGCGGTCGTTCTCTCTAGGAAGCACCCGTGATTCGGTGGAAATGCTGATCTGCGTCAAAAACAATCTAAATGTGAGTCTTTATTACTCATTTGAAAATGAGGCTCATATTACAAAGGAATACTGGATAAGAACGATTGTCTTTGTAAAGCATCGCTCTGCCTGACCTAATTTTTTCCTTTCCCTAAATCCTTGAAAGATAGTTACAATGACGAAAAAGGTGCAGCTCCGCTTCCCGAAAAGCCAATAAAAACGAGGACAGGCCTTGGTCGGGGTAATATAGTATTCATCCTCATTAGTCAGAAAAGGTCGTCCGGCGGCTCCAGATACGTATTCCCAATCCGAGCAGGGCTGGCCTTCGCCTAAGACCCGCACCACCCCTCACACATGGGGAGCCCCCACCCCATCTCCTTCCCTACCCCGACTCCGACCCCGCCGTCAGACACCGGATCAGCGGCCTGGCTCACCTTTGCAAGCACTGATTAAGAAATACCCATAGGGCGTGATGCCACTGAAGGCCAAATCGACCACGGGGCGCGTGTGGCCGGAGCAGGTGAGCGGCGTCTGCCTCATTGCCATGGCGGCTGCGGCGGCGGCGGGGATCGGGCTGAGGAGCGGAGGGTCGTCGTCGTCCTTTCTCTCCGCTGCAGCGCCACCGGCTCCACAGCCACCCCCTTACACTCCGCCCTTACACTGGGGCTGGGCCGGGCAACAGAAACCGAGGCCCAATCCGGTGGCACCAAGGTCCGAGGGGTTAGGAAGGGGCCAAGGAGTCAGCCACCGCCGGGCGACAGCCGCCAAGGAAGGGAAAGGGAGGGAGGGAGGAGGAAAGTAGGGGAGGGGAAGAAACGGACAACCGGCCCAGCCACGATCCACACCGTCCACAGCGGCATCGACCGGAAGTGACGACACAAATGACGCAAGGCGTCCGCCGGAAGTGACGACCTGACGGGAAGGCGGGTTCCCCCCCGCGAGAGATTTGATGAAGGAGCTGGAACTGGAACGCGCGCGCGTTTTCGGCGCTCGTCGGGCACGTGACGCTGGCGCGGAGCAGACCTTGTTTGGCGCTGGAAGAGGCGTTGGGCTGTGGAGCGTCGACTGTGCTCCCGAGCTCCGGAGTTAGGACGCCTCTCTTGGGTCGGAGTTGGCGGAGTGCAAAAGCCATTCCCGTGCCCACGAGTCGTCGGTTTGTACGCCTGGTGAGCGCGCGGAGTAGCAATTCTGGGCCTGCGAACCTCCGTCTGCACGGACTCTGCAGCCGTCCCTAGAGGCGGTTCAAACCAGCAAAAGTCTAAACGGCTTTTAAATTTTTGCATTTTTAAAAAATACATGAGAAGCAACCGAGCGTGGTGGTGCATGGCTGTGATCCCAGTACTCTGGAAAGCTGAGGGAGGAGGTTCCAGCACAGCCGGGGGACTGAGCTAGAGGCGCTCAAAAAAATAAAAAGTGCCGGGTTCAGTCCCTGTTAACAGGAATAGATGGGGCGGCTTCTACGCGTTGTCTGCAAATAAAACCCTCAAGGAAAGTAATTTCCCCAGCCATCCCTTGAGTGTAATATTCTTTCATTGCTAGTGTTTTAGGTATGAATCAATGCTGAATTCTATCAAAAAAATTTTGTACATCTGTTGAGGGCTGTAAGTACTGTTCAACTTTTTTTCCTTTGGAGAACTGGAGTAATTGGCCCCCAGTTTTGTTTTTGTTTTTTGATATACAGTAATACGTCCGTAAATTTTGAGCCTATACTCCCAATATATGGATAATAATGTCCAGATTACATACATGTACAGAATAATACATTGGCAAAAGTAGAAACACTGAAGGACTCTGAGATATAAATATAAATTAAAACTCATCTTTCTCCCTGCAGTCTCTGTGATAATCAGTGACTGCTCTGTGGCATAAGGAGAATTGTTTATTGATTACTTTAAAATGGTTTCCTAAGCTGAAAAAGGCCTTCCGCTGGGAAGGGTTTGGTTTTGTTTTGTTCTGAAACAAGATCTCACTATGTGGCATACGCTACCTTAGACATCATTCTTCTCAACCTCATAAGTGCTGGATTAAGGTTGTATGTCACCACACTTGGTTTAGGAAGGTTGTTCCTTTAGTATTAAAATACAAACGCAAACTAGAAAGTTTGTATTTTGTTTACTATATCCTCAGTGCCATAATGCATTGGCATTTGTGTGTGCATTGGCATTGAGTTAATACATCTATATCAGTAAATATTTAATGAATACAAATGTCTGCAAATGTTTCCTTCGTCTTTTTGTATCACATACTTACCTATCTTCATGATGCAAGTGAAATAATTTCAATGGAAACTTGGTTTCTATCTCATTCACACTTTCTACATTCACTTACAGCACAGCACATTCTCTGTCTTACACTGCTACTTCCACGCTCCTTTTTAATTGTTTCACTAATTTTATTTTTTGGTCTTTTTGAGACAGAGTCTCGCTATGCAGTTCATTTTGGCCTTGGGTTCATTTTGTAGCCCAGGTCGGTCTTGAACTCGCAGTGACCCTCCTGCTTCAGCCTCCTGATGCTGGGATTACAGGCATGCACCACCATGCCCAGCTTTATTTTTTATTTTGAGACATTTTTGTTAAGTTGTTAAATTGCCCAGGCTGGGCTCAATTTGGGATTCTTCTGCCTCAGCTTCCTGCTGGGATTACAGGCCTGTGCCAGCACGTTCGGCCATATTGTTTCGTTTTGTTTTTTTCTGTGCTAACCTCTCATCCTGCTCAGCTCCTTTCCTCCCCTCCCTTCCTTTTCCCTTCTCTCTTTTCTCCCCTCCCTTTCCGTACCCCTTATTTCCTTTTCCTTTTGCTCTCCTCCCAACTAAGTAAGGAGCTCTTTTAATAGCAATAATTATGGCTTCTTCATTTATTCTGTGGTGTAATAAGAGAGAATGGCATTTGGTGAATGTTTAGCAAGCGAACATTCTACTGACTGAGTACATTTCTTCAGTATGGATAGAAATGAATAAATAAAAGGTACATTCAAGTTGCTGTGCTTGATCTTAACCACAAGATGAGTAGCTAAGAGACACATTTAAGTTAAAACAATCCGACTGGTCAGTTGCTCATTTACTGCTCAGTGTGTAAAGAAAAGCATGTAACTTACTATGGTTCCTACTTGGGCTCTAAGGAATGTATTTTTGCTCATTTGGATTCTAAGTTATTTATCACGACTGATTGTGGAGGCTTCCAGGTCAGTTTAATGGAAGACATGATTGCAATGAACATAATTAACCAAGTTAAAAGATGAAAAAAAATCAGTAGTTACATAAATTTTTTGATAGACTTCAGCATTCATTCAAATTCATAGGCACTAGAAATAACAAGGAATTTTCTTACCCTGGTAGAATATTTGAAAGCAGCACCTCACCCTTTGATGAAACACTCAAAGCCTTCCCTTTTAGCAAAGGTACAAGACAAGGATGATGGTCACTACCACTTTGGTACAATAGGGTTCTATTAGACAACCCAAAAAGGCATAAATGCTGAAAGTTACAAATTTGTGAGATTATGCATAAGGAAAATGAAAATATATACTAATACAAATATATATAAATACAAATTAGAATCATGACAGTTCCCTACAGTTACTGGATTTTTAAAAAATGTAGTGAACGCATATCTGTATCTTACCAACAAACAAAAAAATGGAATTTGAGGCAGTGCTGAAGATTGAACCTATGGCCTTAGGCATACAAAGCATATACTCTGAACTACAAGAGTACGGAATTTTAAAATATGCCAGTCAGGCATTCCTGTATTCTCAACTACTCAGGAAACAAACAAAAGGACCACCAGTTTAAGGCCATTGTGCCATAGAGAGCAAGACACTGTCTCAAAAAAAGAAAGGGTAGGGATGTAGCTCAGTGATAAAATAAGGAAAGCCCTTAGGTTTAATCCTTAGTAGGGGAAAAAAAGTCGAACAATAGCATCAAGAGAATAAGATACATGACAATAAGTCTGACTATGTTTCCTAGCAGAAGATGAACGCTGACATAGAAACTGAAGACAGTTTAATGTACACGTCTTTTACTAAGGTATTACAGAATCAAAAGCAACCAACAAAGAATACTGAAGAATGCCACAGAGAAAATGGAACTAACCAGGTATATACATGGGTGACAGAAGGGTTTGTTTAGCTGAGTCTGAATCACAGAAAGCGCAATCACTGCAGGGGAAGGCTACAGGACAAGAGCTGTGTAACGGGTGAAGGAACGCAACACCTGCCAGCCATCACCAGTCCGCTCAGAAGGATGTTGGGGAACAAGTATTTACTTCATTTCTTATCCATGCTTTGCATTGGTCAATCTTATTCAGAGAGCAGAAGGCAAGAAAGCCCTTGCCAGCCTTCTAGGACATGAGCCATAGTGCGGAAAGGAAGAGAGGGGGGAGGTGATGGAACAGAGAATCTTCAACATGATGTGTAAAATCTTAATGAAGACTGATGAACTTTGTTAAAAGGAATTAAAGAATATGAAAATAAAAGGAAATGGATATATTGTGTTCTCGGATGGGAAGATTCAATGCTGGAAAAATGTCAGTTTTACCCTGTTACAAGCTGAATTGTGAGCCCCCCCAACCCCCTCTCCAAATTTATACATTAAAATTCTAACTTTGATTATCTTAGAATGTGATTGTTTGGAGACAGTACATTTAAAGAGGCAGTCAACATACAACAGGTAATATGGGCTTAATCCAATGTGACAGTTGTACTGAAGAGTTTAGGACACAGGACCCAGAATAAGGAGTGACCAAGTGAGAACACAGTCAGGAGGCAGCCATCTATAAACCAAGGAAGCAAGCCTTAGGGCAGGAGTAGGAACCTTTCAGAGCTCTTGACACAAATGCATCACAGTGGGCGAGTCATTGTTTCACCAATACTGCCTTAGAAGAAACCGAATTGCTGACGGCAAGATCTTGAACTTCAAGTTTCTATTATTGAAGCAACCAACTCTACGGTATTAGGGCAGACCAAGGAAACCACTGTATCCCCAAATTGACTTCCAGGTTCCATACAATTCAAAAAAAAAAACCCCAATGTTTCTGAATAAAATTTTTCATAGTGGGGCCTGGGAATATAGCTCAGCAGTGTAGCGCCTGCCTGGCAAGCACCAGGTCCCGAGTTTCATTCCCAATACACCCTTCCCCGCCGTCAAATTTTTCATAGTGATGTTAATAGTGATATAGAAAAGCAAAAGACCAAAAATAGGGAAAATACTCCAGAAAAAGGAAAATAAACGGTAAAGACTTTTCCCACTAAATATCAAACATATTTCAAATTATAATAAAAGTTTCCACAATGGCACAGGGATAAACAATTATAAAACACAGAATAAATAATTCATATGTAAAGAAATCCAATGAATGACACTTTCAGTGCAGACCAGAGGAGAAAGAATAATTTCAGTAAATCGTGCTGGACAAATAGGTCATCCATAAAAATGAATGAAATTAGACTCCTACCTTAACCCAGGCGTACTGGATGATTATAAAATATAATTTCAAGGCAAAAGTATAAAGTATGTGAAACGTGACCTTCAAATAAAAAAGTATTGATTAAATAAAGCTCAAAGTGTACCAACCATAAAATATGGGTAACTGACTATAGTCAAGAAACTCCACTGTGAAATGGTGAAAGTAGGAAAAAATATTTGCTTAACATATTATTAAAAACTTACTGGACAAAAATCCAGAGAGGACTTCTACAAATGATTAAGAAGACAGACAACATAACAGAAACAGAAAAAGAGTCAACTCAGCAATAATCAGAATCAAAAAATATGTGCATGAAGTATCATTTCACATTTATTACAGGAAGGCTTTTTAAATGACACAGTTCTTAACATTGGCAAGGATGTGAAACACTGGTATG